GGCTGGTCCCCCCATTGCCCGTAGGGCTTTTCCTACAGGGACACTGTTTTTGCTGCGGTGGCTTTGCCCTGCCAGCCATGAGCAAGCATTATGGGAGGGAGCTGTCTCCAATGGGACAAGAACTGGGACCACTGAGCTGAACGTGCTCCATCGCTCCCCGGGGGAGACCCCGGCTTGGCCCCACACCTGCCTCCAAAGGGGATCAAAACACATACGGGGACACAAAGACCGTGACCTTGAAGATGTGCTTGCCCAAGAGGACTTTACGGGAGAACTCGCTCATCTCCAGCTCCACCTCCAGCGTGGCTGGCCCTGCCACGGGGCTGGTGAGCAGCAGCTCCCCCGTCTGCCGGTCGGAGCGTCGCACAGAGAAGACGCCCTGGCCCCTTCCACCCGTGATGGCGAAGCGCAGGCTGTCGCCCACGAAGCGGGTGGTGGACATCTTGAAGAGGACACGGGGCACGGTGCGGTTGGCCTGGAGCGGCAGGTAGTGGAAGGAGATGGAGGTGGCAGCCAGGAGGCAGGCCCGGCTCTCCATGGGGCAGGGGTTCCTCTCGCACTGGCTGCCGGGAGAGAAGGGGTGCCACTGCTCAGTGCTGTGGTTTGGCTCTCTCAGGAAGCTGCCCTCATCCTTGCAAGCAAGCCCAGCCCACGCCACAAGCAGCATCTCCAGCCCCACTGTTGGTCCTGTGGCAGAGTAACCCAAGACAGTCACATCTGAGTGTGCCCAGCATCGGATCTCTACCTCATCCCTGCTTCTGCCAGGCAAACACCATGCCCTGCAGGGACACAGCTCTGGGTGATGCTTTAAGGCTGGGACTGGGGGTAGCCAGTCCCAGATGGAGGACAGGGATGGAGGTAGATGTGCCTCCTGAAGAGGAACATGTCGGGATCAGGGATGCTCCTCTGCTTGGGTGTTTTTGTTCAGCCACAAAGCAGTTTAGTCTCAAGAGTGCAATGGCCACTGCTGGAAGGCAGCTCACGGCAACACATGGATGCACAGCAGAGGGGAAATAGTGTCTTTCCCCACAGTATGTGGCTCTGGGGGGAGGTAGAATTCTGGATAAAGCCACCATATATTGAGTTGCTCCTGTATGCACCTCCAGCATCCCCAGACCATCCAGGAGCATGCCAAGCACACCTGGACACCCCACGTGGCAATTTGCTACCAGTGCTGGCTGGCACTCACCCTACTGCCCCTGGGTGGCACACTACAGTCCCCAAGGCACAGAAGGACCCATCAGTCTGGGAGAGGGCATGATGCAGCCTGAGTCCCCTGCAGTACACTACTCACAAGGCAGAGGTCTTGATGTAGCTGGTGTTGTGGCGTGGCGGGGGGCACTTGGGGCGCACACAGCGGTGGCCCCCGAAGGTGTTGATGCAGAGGTCGCCCTGGGTGCAGTTGTGCTGCTTCCCGGCGCACTCATTCACATCTGTGGTGGTGACACGGGGTGAGAGGGGCTGCCCCCACTGCACCCCTCTTCCCACAGGATGCTCCCTGCCCTGCCACCCTCACCCTCGCAGGCGTTGCGGTCGGCATGGAGCAGGTAGCCGGGGGGACAGAGGCAGCGGTAGGAGCCAGGGAGGTTGAGGCAGTCGTGGAGGCAAATCCTGGTCTGGGGGCTGGACTGGTAGAGGAGGCACTCATCCACGTCTGAGGGGGGACAAAAGTGGGGAATGGCCAGGGGGCCCGTGGCCACCAAGCCTCGGTTTCCCCCCCTCTCCCTGCCATCTTCAGCCCTCTTTTACCTTGGCACACGCCACCGGCTCTCAGCTGGAAGCCGGTGTCGCAGCTGCAGCGCCGGGAGCCTGAGCGGCCCTCGGCACAGCGGGGCTGGCGGCTGAAGGAGGCGTTGCTCAGTGTCACCCAGTCTGTGGGGGACAGCGGGTGGGGCATGGGGAGATGGGTGGGGGCTGAGGTCCCTGGGGGGGCTGCCAGGGAAGTGGGAGATGGTGCAGCACAGCCAGGTGCTGTCCCCATGAGCATCCCCATCCTCGACAGTCCAAACCCAGGCACCTACAGGAGTAGATGGGGTTCTGGCAGCTGGGGCCTGACCAGCCTGGGGGGCAGAGGCACGTGTAGCTCTGGTCACCATCCACGCAGGTCCCGCTGTTGGCACAGGGGTTGCTGGAGCAGTCATCCATACCTAGGGAGAAGCAGCTCGTGAGCACCAGATGAAGCACATCCTTGCTTCATCCCCGTGCCCATGGCTGCAGCCTCTGGGCAGAGCGATGGAACCCCGTGGCTCAAGGTGAGGGAGGAGCCCATGGGCTGGGCTGAGCCCATGGCACCCCAACCCCACTCCACTTCACTTCTGCAGAAGGGCTGGGTGCCGCTCCACGTGCGGTTGTGCCGGCAGCTGCGCGTCTCCGAGCCCACCAGCTGGAAGCCGCTGTCGCAGACAAAGTGAACGTCGTGGCCCACCCGCACACTCCGGCCCAGCATCCGCCCGTTCAGGGGCACTGCCAGCTGTGGACAGGTGTCTGTGGACAGACAGACACGGGTGAGGATGGACACTGCCAGGCTGGAGCCGGCCCCAACCCGGCGAGGAGCTGGGGGTGCCTTGCCCAGGCTGTCTGTGGGGGTCCAGGTGTCAGAGGCGACCCTGTGGGGATGTCACCGGTGGTGGTGACTGGCCGGGGGTACCATTGCGTTTTGTGGGCTGTCTCTGGAGGTGGCTCTGGAGGATGGAAAGCTGGTTCCGGAGCCCGCGTGTGCCCCGCAGGTGAGCAGCCTCCTGCGCCGCCAGCAGCTTCTGCATCTGCCGCACTGCACTGAGAGCCTGCTGCCGGCTCAGGCACTCCTGGGGGGACACATGGACATCCCTGTCACCCGCTGGGCTCCTCTGCCACCCTGCTGCAGCCCAGGGGGACCCTTCCAAGCAGGCAGCATCTTTGGAGTTGGTTTGAATGTCCTGCCTTGGGCAGAGCCCTTTCCCATTCTATTTGGGGTCTGCCCCTGGCTCCATGTCTGCTCCAGCCTCAGCCCTCCCCACCCAGCCCTGCCCGGGGCACTTGGATGCTGAGGAGCAGCTTGGATGCCCCAGGTGGGTTTAACATCGTCTTGCTGCTGCAGTGGAAAAGTCCTATGATCACCCCCTTGGCCCTGGGTAGCCCCACGGGTGTCGTGGCTGTGCTGTACCCACCACGCCAGGCTGGTGACGGGGTGCTGGGGTGTGAGAAGTGGGTGCTGATCAGCCCACAGTGGGGAGTCTGCTATGGGGCTGGAGGGAGGGAGGCATGAGAGTCCTTACCTGGGTGCTGCTGAGGGGCAGCTGCAGGATGCCCAGGGCCAGCAAGGCTGGCAGTGGGATGAGGAGCATCACGCCGGGGCTGGCTACAGGGACAAGACGCCGACAGTCCGGTTCTGCTCACAGCCGCACTCCTGCACTCGCTGGGATTTATCCACAGTGTGTGCCTGTGTGTTTGTTGGTTTTTCTCCTGGCCGAGGCCGAGCTGTAGGAAAGTTTCCCCTTGGCACTGGCGCCAGCCTCTCCCTTCCCTTCCCTTCCGTTCCTTTCCCTCTCTGCACATCAGAGGCTTTGGGGCCTTTCATGTCCCAGGGCCAGCAGATGCCGGGGCCAGGCGGTGGCTGTCACGGCACTTACAGCAGTACCAGGCTCACCTCATGGCCAGCCCCGGCTCTGGGGCTTCCCAGCATGCAGGGATGCAGGATGAGGCTAATCCTGTGCGTTTGCTAAGCCTGGGAAAGTCTGCTGTGAGAAAAGATGGCTTTGGGGTCTGTGCTGGGGTTCAGCTCTCTGGAGGGGCTGGGGCCGTGGGGAAGGGCAGCCCAGGAATGCTGTGGACTCACTGGACTCAGCACAGCCTTGCTGGGGTGAGCTCAGCCATGGCTGGAGTTTAGAGTGGAACCCCAGGGATCTGATGCAGCCAGGAGTTGGGATGCAGATTGGTGTTACAGCCAGTATTAACATTAGGGTCAGGGTAAATGTTAGAGTCAGTATTAGGGCTAGGATGAGGTTAGGATTAGAGTTGTGGTTAGGGTTGGGATTAGGTTTAGGATTAGGATTAGCATTTGGGTTATGTTGGGATTAGGATTAGGGTCAGGGTTAACATTAGGGTTAGGTCTGGAGTTTAAAGTTTGGGTTAGCATTAAATTCATGGTTAGGACTAAGGTCAGGTTTTTTCTTAGGGTTAGAGTTAGCATTAGGACCAGTTCCAAAGGTTCAGGTCCATATTAGCAGGAAGATTTGGATGAGAGGTGGGGTTGGCATTAGCATTAGGCCAGGGTTAGGCTCAGAGTGAGGGAACTGAAGCATTTAGAGCTGGGTTTATGCCGACACCCAGCTCAGACCTGACAGCTGGGAGGCAGGATGCTCCTGGTCCCTCCTGCCTGTGACAGCCCAGAAGGGGCACGGCCACATGTGCCTGTCCCTTGCCCACCCCCAGCAGCCATGTCCGAAGCCCACACCTCTACCCTGTGCCAGCGGAGCAGCTGGCATGGTTACTGGGAGCCCTGCACTGGGGCAAAGCCTTCAGGGTGCTACTGAGCCCCCCGAGCAGCCCGGGCTCCGGCCTCGCTGCCTGACCCCGAGTGCCTGCTGAGACATCCCTCTCCCCCAGCTCGGCATCTCTCCCGCCACCGGCCCCCCAGCCCTCACATCCTCCCACCCTGTAACCACACTGCCCAGCTCTCCGGAGCGGGTATTTGGCTTCCTGCCTGCAGCGGTGTGTGTTACCTCCCCGGCATGTTTAATTCATGGGGCAGGAGGAAGGCTGGCAGCAGGGGCCCCCTGACTGCCCCAGCCCCTCGGTATCCAGTCTCCCAGGGTCCCAAAGTGGGTTCCGCTTGCGACCCCGGCTCCTGCTGCCTCCACACCTCGACCCCGGCCCGGCGGCGGGGCTGGGGGGGCTGACCCCGCTGCGGGACATCCCGGCGGGGCTGCAGCCCAGGGCCCCGGGACTTGTCTGCCACATTCGCTCCAGCGAGCAACTGTTTTGACAGAGCTATTACTCACCCGTCAAGCTTTTGTTCGCGCTGCCCAGCGGTGCCTGTCTGGAGTCCTGAATAGGATCAAATCCTGCGACCAGACACACACACACACACACACACACACACACGCGGGAGCGCGCAGGAGCGCGCGGCCGAGCTCGCCCCAAAGCCGGGGCTGCTGCGGGGTGATTCGGCTCTCCACAGCCCTCCCTCCGGAGCCTCTGGTCCCCCCCATCCCAGGACCGACATGGAGCTCTTGGTCCTGCTGCTTTGCAACCTCCTGGTGTGGAGGGTGGGTGAGACGAGGTCGGATGCTCCAGAAAAGTTGTCCCCGCTGGCTCCGGGAGGTAACTGGGAGAGGGGCTGCTCCTCCGGCAGCAGGGCTGGGAGGCAGCTGGTTTAGGGGGTGAGTGCACCCTGAGCACCTGCTGGGACAGACCAGGCAGGCAGGGGACTGGGTGGGTGATGGGCATCCAGGGATGGCAACGAGGATCTCGGTGGGTGGTGGGGGCTGGGGATAGGATGAGGCTGGGAGGGGGGGCATGGAGCTGGTGATGGGGTGGAGCTGGTGATGGGATGGAGCTGGGGGGGCTCTGGGGCTGATGATGGGATGGAACTGGTGATGGGATGGGGCTGGAGAACTCTGGGGTAGTGATATAATTGACGTGGGGCCAGCCTAGCGTTGGTGATATGGTGGAACCTGGGGGGGCCTCTGGTGCTGGTGATGGGACAGTGCTGGTGACAGAATGGGGCAGGGGGTCCTGCAGCTGGTGATGGGGGCTAGTGACGGGTCCAGCCCAGAAGGGTCTGGGTGCTGGCAGGACGGAGGTAGGGGGTTGGGGGGGGGGAGCGGGTGCATTCCTGGCAGTCTCAGCCCACCCGTGCGAGACAGGGGCTCAGCGGGCTGGCCACCCCCCCCCCGGCCCCTTGCCCCTTTTGTGCTCCCAGCCCAAAAGTGCTTTCTTCTCTCCCCTCAAGTCTCCATGGAGACCTGGGTGCCTTCCCCGTATCCCCGGCTGCGGTCGGGCCCTTCAGGGAGAGTTCCCACGGCTTCTCGAAGGGTCCGTCCGACCACAGCCAGGGATACGGGGAAGGCACTTGCACCCCCTGGCCCCCTTGGCCCCATCCCTATCCCCTGCTGTCCCCCCAGCTCTCAGCATGAAGGAGACCTTCCTGGTGCTCTCACTGCACAACAAGCTGAGGAGCAAAGTGCAGCCCCCCGCTGCCAACATGCAGAAGCTGGTGAGCCCCCTCGCAGGTCCCATGTCCCCCACCTTTGATGTCACATCCACCTACCACTCCATGCCCAGGGAGGGGGGTAGCCCGTGGGTGCTACACAGTAGTTTGTTAACAAGCTAATGAAGCAGAAGAGCTGGTGTGGGGCCCCAAGGGAAGGATGTGCCACCAGCGCTGACAGATTGAGGGCACACCAAAGACAGGGCTGGTCCCTTGAGGTCTTTTTTGGGGTCCGCCATGTCCTTCTGATGTCCCCTGATCACCCCACACCTGCACATACCAAGGGCAGGGCTGGTCCTTTGGGGTCTTCTGTGGGGTCCCCCATGTCCTGTGATGGCCCTGGATATCCCCCAACCACCCCATACCTATGCAGACCAAGGGCAGGGCTGGTCCCTAGGGGTCCCTTGCAGCATCCCCCATGACATGCCCCAGTCATCCCCTGGACTGAGCCCCTTGTCAGCCCCCAAATTCCCCCTGCGTGGCTCATGCTCATCCCTGCAGGAGTGGAGCGAGGAGCTGGGGCAGCTGGCGGGGGCACGGGCAGCCAGCTGCCTGGAGGGCCCCGCTCCCCCACCAGCCCCACAGCTGGGCTGGAACGAGGCCCTGCTGCCAGTGGGCATGGGGGGCTTCGTGGCCGTGCTGGAGCGTTGGTTCGCCGAGGGACGCGGCTACGACTACGGGACGGGGCACTGTGCCAGCAACGCCACCTGCCACCATTACACCCAGGTGGGCACGGGGCAGGGGTGGCACCAGGGGGCCGTGGGGGACCGGGGCACGGGGTGACACGTGTCCTCCTTCAGCTGGTGTGGGCCACAGCGGGGCGGCTGGGTTGTGGCCGGCACCGCTGCCCCGGCCCCCACGGCCCCAGCGAGGCCTTCGCCTGCGCCTACAACCCGGGGTAAGGGCTGGGAGAGGGAGGGACAGGAGAGGGGATGGGGGGGGAGGACACGCCGGGAGGAGCAGGGCCATGTGGGATGGGGGTGGGGCTGGGGTAAGTGGGTGGGGCTTGTGGGGGTGGGCGGGGTCTCTGCTGGGTGTGTCTGGGTGGATTGACCTATGGGGATGCACGGTGAGGGGTGGGGGCGGAGCCATGCCCTGTTGGTGGGTGGGGCTGGGTGGTGGGAGTGGGCGGGGCTGAATGGTGTGGGCAGGGCCATGCATTGAAGTGGGTGGGGTGGGAAATGTGGGCGGTGCTATGTTTGGGGAGTGGGCGGAGGCTTGGTGTCATGGGAGGGGCTATGTGTTAAAATGGGTGGGGCTGAGTGTGGTGGGTGGGGCTATGTGCAGAAGTGGGCAGGGCCGTGAAGTCTAGGCGGTGTTTTGCACTAGAAGTGGGCGGGGCTCTGCCCAGAAAAGGGTGTGGCTTGCCCAGGTGGGTGAGGCCCTGCCCAGAAAGGGGTGTGGCTTGCCCGGGTGGGCGGGGCATCCTCCTCCAGCTGCCTGCGGGGCCAGGGGCAACTGGGAGGTGGCCGGGACGCCCGTCCTGCCCTACAAGCAGGGCCCCTGGTGCTCCCTCTGCACCGCCGGCCTCTCTGGCTGCTTCAAGTCCTGGGATCACGGCGGCGGGCTCTGCGGTGAGTCCCTGCCATCCCTCCAGCCCCTGTGTGGCCCCGGCAGTGCCACTGCCAGCCCTGACACCCCCACCTGCTGTGCCCAGAGGTGCCCAGGAACCCCTGTCGCATGAGCTGCAGGAACAGCGGGAGTCTCGACATGGGCAGCTGCCAGTGCGCCTGTCCCCCTGGCTACACAGGAAGGTACTGCCAAGGTGAGAGGGCACCACACAGCCCTGCCTCTCCTCCCCTCTCGAGGCACGTGCGTGGCTGCTGTGGGTGCAGGCCATGCGTGTGCAGGGTGGGTGCAGGGGGGGCTGGTGCAGGGCGTGCTTGGGCATGGCCAGTGCAGCACTCACAGCCTGCTCAGTACTCGTGTGCCCACGGCGGTGCAGAACCAGGGGCACCAGCACAGCTCAGTGCACGTGTGGATGTGGCTGGTGCAGCTTGGGCAGCACGGACAGTGCCTGGGGTGCAGCGTGGGGCGGGCAGGGGCCGCCGAGCCCCCCCAGCTAAAACAGCGCCGTGCCCACAGTGAGGTGCAGCGGGCAGTGCCTCCACGGAAGGTTCAGGAAGGAGGAGTGCTCCTGCCTCTGCGATGCGGGCTACGGTGGAGCTGAGTGCGGCAGTGAGTCTGTGCCCACCTGTGCTGCTGCGGGGTGGCAGCGGGAATCCATGGGCAGGGACCCCGGGAGTGGGGTGAAGGGTCCTCTGTGGGCCCAGCTTGGCCAGCACAGGGACCCACCTGCTCCTGCCTGTGCCCCCAGCGAAGATCCAGTTCCCTTTTCATGCTTGCGATGTGCGGATAGACAGTGACTGCTTCATGGTGTCTCCAGAGGCCGACACCTACTATGGAGCCAAAATTAAGTGCCAGGTGAGCTCCTGGGATGCTCCGGGCATCCTTGTGCAGCTGAAAATTGCCACCCATGCTTGCAGCCCTCCCGGGCATCTCTCCTCTGCCTGGCACAGGGCTGGGCCGCATGTTTGGGGCAGACTGACTCCCTTCCGTGCAGGAGAAAGGGGCGATGCTGGCCCAGATCAGAAACCAGAAGGTCCAGGACATCCTGGCTTTCTACCTCAGCCGCTTGGAGATGGGTAACAGGGTGACAGACACCGATTTTGAGACCGGGAACTTCTGGATTGGTGAGTGACAGCAGTGGGCAAGGTGCCCGGGCTGGCAGCAGACATGCCAACCCACCTCCCACTCCCCCAGGTCTCACCTACAAGACATCCAAGGCTTCCTTCCGCTGGGACGTGGGCGAGCCATCCTCTTTCACCAGCTTTGCTTTTGGGCAGCCGGACAACCAGGGGTAAGTGGATCTAGAGGACACTGAGCCCTGCATGGTGTCACCGCTGTGCCACTGCACTGGCTGGCTCCACCACCCTCCCGCTGGGACACAGGTTTGGGAACTGTGTGGAGATGCAGGCGTCGGCTGCCTTCAACTGGAATGACCAGCGCTGCAAGACCCGAAACCGGTACATCTGCCAGTTCGGTGAGTGAGGGGCTGGGAGCCCTCCCGTGTGTCCCCAGGGGTGCCAAGCCCTGGGGTTGCCAGTCTCCAGCTCTGCTGGGTCTGTCCCTTGTTGCCAGCCCTGCTCAGACCTCTGGGTACCTCCTGGCTTGGGGGGCACTGACTGTCCGCCTTCCATCACAGCCCAGGAACACATCGCCCTGTGGCAGCGGGACCCCTGAGCCAGCAGCCCTGGGAACTGGCTAGTGCTGGCTGCTGTGCCGAGCCCATGGCTCAGGAAGACCTTGATGCTGTGCCAAGCCTGGACCATGGCTCAGAAGGATCCCCCCACAGCTCACCTGCACAGGGGATGGGAGATTGAGGGGCCCCATGGCACTGGGACCTCGTGAGAAGGGATGTGCTTTATGTCAGCATCCCCAAAACAGCATCTTCTTCTGCCCCTCACCTTCCTCTCTCACCATCACACTGTGACACCTCCCGGGCAGGAGATGCCCCTGCAACAGCCAGGTACAGCAGCATCCTCCTCCGAAATTGGCAACTGGGCCTTGTCTGGACTGTGGTCTTGAAGTGACAAGGGGCCAAGGGGGGCTCCTGGGAGGTGCAGATCTCGGCACAGCTGAGGGTGAGGACCAGGCTCAGCTCTGAGCCATCATCTTGACCTGTGTGGGAACCTCTCAGTTTGCTGGGTTCCTCATGATCACCTGACCCTTCGTCATCACCCAGTTCCTCACCACCACCATCTGCCCAGCAGTTAATAAAGACCCGTTCCCCCTTGGGAAGAGCAGTTTGTCTTCCTTTGCTCTCCCAAGCCCACTAGACTCTCCCTAACCACATCCCACATCCTGCCTGCACTAGGTGGTACCTCCATCTCCATCCCTGGAGCGAGTTCTGGAGTTGGAGGAGCCAGGACCAGCCCAGCCTCTGGCTGAACTTGGCTCCAGCACCTGGGGGTGTTTTGGAAGGGTGGCATTAGCCAAGATCTGCTTCTTCCAGCCCCAGGACAGCCCCAAGTCAGGGCTTTCCACGTGCTGAGTGAAAACCTGTGACTCCAGCGCTGGCGGGTGCCAGTGGGTGCTTTTGAAGGGAACATGCCTCTGCCCTCCTCCTGTCCGAACAGCCCTCTCCAGCGCTGGGCTGGGAGTTAAAACGTCCCCAGCCAGGGCGCTGCGTGCCAGTTGGTTGTGTCGCCAGCTCCGTGGCGGGAAGGCACGATCCACATCGCTGCCAGCAAGGCTGGGCTCGGGGCTCCGGGCGAGCTGGGCAAACCCGGACAGCCACCGAGCCGGCGACCGGGAGGGCAGGACCCGGCAGGTGCGAGGGGCGAGAGGTGGAAGGATCCCGGGGAGGATGAGGGTGAGGATGGAGATCCCGGGGGCAGCGTGAGCGCGGTGCCCGCAGCGGTGCGGGCAGGGACACGGACCACCGTGCGGGGCGTGGTGTCCCCCCGCGCCGCGGTGGTGCGGCCCGGACCCCCCCGCCCGGCGGTGGTAGCGCCCGGTGGCAGCGCTCGGTCCGGTGCGGGGCCGGTGCGGGGCCGGTGCGGGGCCATGACGCTCTTCGGCAGCGGGGACGCGGGCTGGAGATGTGAGTATCGGCCGGATCGGGCCCTAATCTTCCCCCCCCCGGTATCCCTCCCGCGGGATCGGCCCTCCTCCCGCACCCTTCCCCCGGGAGATGCTCCGGCACCGGGATGCTCGCCCGGCACCGGGATGCTCGCCCGGCACTGGCAGCCCTGCCCGAGGCGGGGGTGTCCCCCTGCAGCCTTCTGGTGCCCCTAACGCCCCCACCCCGGGTGGGGCCGCCTTCCAGGTGCCCTCCACAGTGGTACCAGTCCCTCTCCAGGGCTGGGATGGCCTCCCGATACTGGAATGCCTGGTTCTCCCCATGCCATGACCCCTGGGACAAGGATGCACTCCCAGTACTGGGATGCCCCCATGCCATTACCCCTCACTATCGTTACCTCCAGGACAGGAATATATCCTCACAGTACTGGGATGCCCCCACGCAATTTCCTCCTGTCTCAGGGATGTCCTTTTAATGCTGAGGTTAACCCTAGGTCAGAGATGTCCTCCTGGTGCTGGAATGCTCCCCCATACATTATTCCCCCATACCATTACTCCCCAAGGACAGGGATGCTCTCAGAACCCTTCCATTACATGGAGGAGAGCCCAGACACAGGGCCAATGACCCTGGGTGATGGAGCCCTGCTGGCTCTGTCCCCTGCCCCATCAGGGCAGTCCCCTTGGTACATGTGGCCTGTGACAGGGTCCCTGGCTGGGGTGCTGAGGTCTCTGTCCTGCTGGCAGGGAGTGGAGTGAGTGTCTCTGCTGGGCAGGCGTGATGGGCTGGAGAGAGGGATGTCAACAGCGGGCTCTGGCCCTGAGCAGTCCCTGGGAATCTGGCTGCACCCATGAAAAATTGGTGCCAGCATTACCTGGCATGCACAGAGCACTTTCCCCAGCTCACCCTGAGATCAGAGCCAGCCCACAGACTTCACCACACAAGGTGGCAGCCTGGAAAGCAAAGTGCCAATTTCCTTCCGCTTGGATCTTTCTCAGAAACCCTCTTCCCTGTAGGGATGGGGGGAACTTCATCTGACAGATGCTGGGCTGGAGGGACCCGTGGCCAGTGTCCACACTCCTGGGGAGGTCTAAGCCTCTCTGCTGGGACAGTGTGTTCCCAGAGCACTCAGGAAGCTTCAGCTCGGTGTGCCCTGGTGCAGTGGCATCCACAATGTCACCTGTGGGACAGCTGGTCACACTTACTGTGTCTGAGGGGAAGTATACAGGAGGGACTCCTCAACATCTCACCCACCACCTCCTACCCCAGGGGCCAGAGAGGTTTTAGAGTCCCGCAAAATCACAAAATTAAATCTATGGAGATGTCCATAAACCACAGTATTGGTGCCTCCCAAATGTATATGCAGAAAGGAGATTCAAGCTGGCTTTTATGTGGATGTTGGTTGTGAAATCCTAACAAAGGGGTGAAGGGCATCGCCGGGGAGCTGTGACCTGGCATCGCTGAGCTGCGCGTCCGGAGGCATCTCTGCCCCACACCTCGGCATCGCACGTGTCTCAGCAGCCTTTGAGAGGGCAGAGCAGCAGGATGTGGGGCTTCCCCCATCCCTGGCATGGTGTCCTGCTATCCCAGACCTCCCCAAAATGCAACCCATCCACCCAGCAGGAGTGATAGCAGAGGTGGATTCACCACTGCGGTGGGAAATGTCTCTGCGGAATAATTACCCTCATCATCAGAGGTGCTTTCTGCCACCCTAATTGGAGCTTGCCCAGCTTTGGCTCCTTGGGACAGGGCACCCATAGGAAGGGATAACTTGACCTGCTCCATGTCCTGGTACAACGTTGGGCTGCTCCTGTCCTTCCCCAAAGCTTAAATCCAGACAGCTCCCAGCCTCCTGCTTGTCCTGCAGATTTTCTGAGGTGGGACATCTCCAGCTGGGACAGGAGTGTGGCTGAGACCAAAGGAAGCTGGTGCTAGAGACTTGTCTATGTGGATTCATTCTCCTCCTCTCTCTCCCCACAGATCTGGACATGGCCAGGGAGCCCAAGCCGAGCCGGGCCAGGCTGGGCCAGAAGCGGCAGCACAGCAGCAGCCTGTACCAGTGAGTGCTTGTGTGTGGGGTGGGGGCTGCAGGGGGGGTCTGGGGACTGTCCCACACCTGGCTCCTCTTCCTCCCCTGCTCTCCATCACTCACACCTCTGACTATTCCAGCTGGTAGGTGTAAGTCTGTGGGATGTCCCTGCCCCATCCCAACAGGGCTCTTGGCCACACAGGTGCTGGCTGGAGGCCTCGCTGGGCCCCTCCTGGTGTGTGTCACCAGTGGGGTGTGGGGACCTGCCCTCCCCACCCGAAGGCAGTCAGAGAAGCCTTGTGGTCTCCATGCCTGTTACAGATGTTGTCCTCCTTCAGTAATGGTTTCAAACTGTCAGAGGGCAGGTTTAGGTTGGACATAAGAAAGAAATTCTTCCTGCTGGTGAGGCCCTAGCACAGGCTGCTCAGAGAAGCTGTGGCTGCCCCATCCCTGGAAGTGCATAAGACCATATTGAATGGGGCTTCCTGGTCTAGTGGAAGGTGTCCCTGCCTATTGCAGAGGGGTTTGGAATGAGATGAGCTTTAAGGACTCTTCCAACCCGAACCATTCCAGGATTCTACAACTCTGTGTCTATATCTGTTGCAATTGTGATTTTTAAATGCTGTTCCTCAGGGACAGACACCCCTGCAGGGACACATGGGGGTGGTGATGGCCCTGAGGATGGCAGTAGGTGATGGTGATGGCACTGATGGTGGCAGAAGAGCAGGTCCCCATCCCTGCACACTTTTGTCTCCCCATCTCAGTGGATGTGTGGTGAGGAGGGGATTGGAGCCGGGCTCCTCTGTCTCGTAAGAGCTTTTTTGCAAACGCCCTGATTGAACTAATTGCTCTGCCTGTTGCCATGGAGCTGAAGGGAGGCAGCACTGGAGGGCCGGGACTGCTTGGCCCCCTTGGGCGCTGGAGCGTGGCAGCCACTGCCTTTGCTCTTCCCAGGGGATTCTCTGAGCAAAGAGCTGAGCCAGGAAACCCCTTGCTGTGTCCCCAGCTGGGTGCTAGACCCCAAGCCTGGGTATCCTGCAGTGCCACCAGTTCTCCCACGGCACAGAGTGTCCTGTGGCATCCCCAAACCTTTCAGTGTGGGCTCTATGCAGCAGCAGCAGCCACTGAAGCAGGTACCTTCCCTGTGCCCCGTGTGTGGGTTGTCTCTCTGTCTGCCCATTCCCTGTTTTCCCAGGACAGGTTGTGACCTTCCCCCCCAGGTGACAGGCAGGAGTTGGGGATGCAAAGGACACACCATCCTTGTCACAGCAACAGAAACTTGGAAGGTAGCAAGTCTGGACCAAAAGCTCCCAAAATAGACCCCAAGGATTGCACCCCACGTGCAAAGCACAGGAGCAGGCAGGCCACCAGGGCTGCCAGCTTGCCCTTACCAGGAGGGCTGGTGCTTGTGGGCTCTGCCTTGTGCAGAGGATTCCTGAAGAAGGTAAGGTGGCAGCAGGACAGGGAGTGCCTCTGCCCCATGACAGGCTCCAAGCTGCCCTCTGGGCTGGGTGAGCCTGGCCCAGGCTTGGTGCCCCAGGCAGGGCAGCCCAGGTTGCCTGTCAGAAGACCTCCCTGAGCCCCAGCATTGATCCCACAGAGACAAGCTCATCTGCAGCCAGATCTGGAGCCCTGGGGGACCTTGACCTGGTCCCCCCATTCCTGACAGCAGGAAGGCTCCCTGCTCCCAGTGATGCCTGGAGCGTGGCTTTGTCTCTACTTGGGTTAGGCTTAGTCCTTCGCTCCCTGATTTCGCAAGAACTGAAGCAGCAAAATGAGCTTCAGCATCTTTCCTCCTCCTTCTCCTCTTCCTCTTCCTCCTCCTGCCACTCCCTGCTCCTGGTCCATGGCACATGATTTATTACGGGCATGTCACTGCCCGTACTGGAGGGGATCCGTTGACAGATTGGTTCTTAGTTTGGAGCTGCCTGAGCTGACAGCACACACCTGGAGCCAGGGACTGTGGAGTTTAACACCAGGGCACTCTAAATGCAGCTTCCTGAGGACAGACCCTGCTGATGCTGCTCACCATCCCCCCCAACACCCTTGTTTGCCTCGAGAAAGATCCCTGCTAGGGCACAGCCACCTCCCAGGGCATGCTGCAGCCCAGGCAGCTTGCGTGAGATTCTCTGGAATGCCTCCTGTTCTGGGGGGGTTGGAAGCTGGGTGGGTGTCTCTGCCCTCCTGTGCCCACAGAGCAGGTGACATGTTCTCCTCTCTCCCCCTCCTGCAGCAGTAGCTGTGACCTGGACTACGACCTCTACAGGGATGACTTCCCGTACCGGTGAGCGCGGCATCCCAGGAGCGGGATGAGCTGAGCATGTGTGGGTTTGGTGTGTGATCGTGGAAAAGCAAGGTGTCCCTGGTCATCTGTCCCCCTGCCTCCAAGAGACGCTCAGTGGTGTTTCACCACCTTGAGGAGCTGCAGCTTCCACAGGCTGGGGGCCTGGGGAGGGGGCATGTGGGGCAGGGGCACCATGTGGGCAGGGCAGCGCCCACACTGTGGGTCCTTTCACCACACAGGGACCCAAAAAGATGCTCTCTTGGCTGGCAAAGGGTACTGCTGCACCTCTAAGGTTGTGCTCATGCCGCTGTGCTCTTGTGCCCTTGCAGGGTCTATGAGTACCAGAAGATCCCCCCCCTCATTAACCGCATCCCAGTCAAGACCAGACGGACTCACCTGGGAGCAGGAGGCAAGAGCAGCCTGAGTCCCCAGCCCGGGACGAGGAGCAGCACCAGCTCCACGGCAGGACGGACAAAGTGTAAGTGTGACAGGGCTGGGAGAAAGAAGAGGCTCAGCCCTCATGTCTCGGTGTGTGCTGACCCTGCTGCTGTGAGTCCCCAGCTCCAGCAGATGCAGCCGGGGCTGCACTGGGCTGGTGACTGTCCCCTGGGGATAGTTACTATTCCCCAAGGATGTCTGGTGGGGAGTATATTTCATAGAGGAAGACATTTTGTGAAGGAGAATGTTCCAGAGGGGAGAACGCTCCAGAGAGTGGGATGCTTCAGAGGTGGTTGCCCAGGATGGGGTGTCCTCCTTGCTCTGGGTGGGCTCCTCACAACTCCTCTCCCTGCAGTGCGAGCTGAAGAGCTGCACTCCATCAAGGGGGAGCTGAGCCAGATCAAGGCACAGGTGGACAGTCTGCTGGAGAGCCTGGACCGCATGGACCAGAGGAGAGAGCGTCTCACGGGTGAGGGGACAGGCCCAGACCCTCCAACACTGGGGTGTCTGTGCTGGGCAACCTGAGGGCACATGTGAGCCTAGACCCTGAGCTGGTTGTAAGGGGTCCCTCCGTGTGTGCCTAGGACATCCAGAGCTTGCTGGGCAGGTTCCCTACATCCTTTCCCTTCCCTGGACCGCCAAGTAAAAACCCAGCCCTTTGGCACAAGGGAACGCAGCGAGGACAGGGCTGATGTTTGCACAGGTACCCCAAATTTCTGCTGTCTCTGGCTTTGCAGGGTCCAAGGAGAGTGAGAAGAAGAGGGCAGAGCCAGGGACAGAGTCGCCATCCCCAGCAGGAGAGGGGTCCCGGGAGTCACGGGGAAAGGAGGGGACGGGATCTGATGGGCACAGTGACCTGCGCAACATCGACAGCGCCGAGGAGAGCACAGACACTGAGGAGACGGTAAGAGGAGGGCCAGATCCTCTGCTGGGCTCTCTGCTCCCCTAAAATCCACACCTGCTTGCTGGTGAGGGATGCCTGGAGTAGATGAGATGCTCTACCAGGGTTCCCCAAGCCATTCCAGCTGGGTGTCAGGGCTAAAACCGCTGGTGCCTCTGGGACAGGCCTGAGCACCCTGCAGCAAACCCCTGGGTGTGAATCAAGGCTGCACTAAGGCTGCAAAAAAACCCTCGGAGCAGAAATACCTTTTATCAAAGGTGCTGCTCCCCCACCCACATCCCCCAGCTGGATGTGGGATCCCGGGGATCCCCATGCCGGGCAGGGTGCTGGGTTTGATCCTGCTGCCAGTGCAGAGGACGGCCACGCCGCGTGTTTCTCCTCACAGGTGAAAACCCACATGTCGGATCCCGAGGGGAGCCAGTAGCCAGACTGGGATGCTGTGGCCTTCCCGTGTGGCCAGTCCCTCCCAGCTTGTGTTCATTATTTCTTTTGAGGCTTCCAGCCAGGCACAACTCGAGGTGCCCATTCCCGGCACAGCCATCCCCGGCCACCGGCAGCCCCGTGTCCCATCCTGGGAGCTGCCGGCCAGCTGGGGCAAGAGAAGTTTTTGTGTTCCAGTGCGCTCATTTTCTTTTTCCTCCTGTTTTCAGACCTAGGGATAAGCAGAGGTGGCCAGGGGAGGGAGGGGAGGAGCAGAAACAAAAGAAAAAGGACCGTGCCCCAGAGGAGCAACCCAAATCCCATCTGCCTTGCTGGCAGCACCTCCTCACCCACAGAGTGCTGTGGGGCACAGAGAGAGCAGCCCGGGGTTCCCACCCCTATGGCACAGGTCACATATCAACTGTCAGACCCTGCTGGGAATTGGTGCAGCAGGCACAGGTACAGCCCGTGGCAGGTTTCTGACCCACCATAGGAAGGAGGAACCACCCTAAGCCATCTCCAGAAGGTTTTCGCAGGATTTTGGGATGGTGCCAAGCCTAGCTCTGATGCGAGCTGCACGACCAGCAGTGGGGCAATGCCAACCCAATCACTCCCATTCGCCCCTGCTCCCAAATGTATTTTCCTTACTGGTTTTCCACGGGCTGTTCTTGTCCAGGCATTGTGTTTGCAGTCAGTGGGACTCCTGTGAGAGCTTCTCCAGGGCCCCTCACCTGCACCTGAGGAGTCCTGGTCCCCCCGTGCTCCCCAGTATCACATTTTGGTTCTGTGTCCCTCATTTCTTGGTTGTCCTTCTCTCCCTGGTAGGAACTCGTTCTGTGTTTCTAATTTGCTCTGGTAAAAGAGTGTATTGTGTTGGAAACAAAAATAATTTGTATTTATTTTCTCTGGTTATTTAACTCTGGTGCAGTTTGTAACTGTCTGAAGTGCTCATTTAATTTTTGTACCTAATTCTGTGTGCTGCCGGACACAGTCCCTGGCTTTCTTGGATGCTGCCTTTTCTGCAGCTCAGCCCAGAGGCAGGAGAGCAGCTCTGCCCTGTTTCCCAGTGGAAAATACCCAGAATATTCCCTACCAGCCCACCATGTTGCAGCTGGGCAGACAGGACTGGCTGCTCTGCTCCATCCCCAGGAACAACCAGATCCCAAGGCAGCACCCAGATCTCTGTGCACCCCTCAAAGAAGGATGGAGGGAGAAGGGGGGGGTGACCCCAATCATGGAAGGGAGGGACTAGCCCTTGGCTAGCAGAGGCCCCAGCAGAGCCGTGCAGGCAGAAGACTCACCAGAAAATAAATGATTTATTACTATGAAAAAAAGCCAACGAAACACAACTCTGCTGCCCTGAAGCACTGCCTGGGCAGGAGGCCCAAGGGATGTGCAGCCCATGCCACGGTGTGGTTCCTGCCCAGAGGTGACTGGACTCTGCCTGCACGGATGGTTGTGGTGGGAGCTCGGTGTGAGGGTCTCAGCCTGGTGCTGGGACCACCCCAAGGTGAGACGTGGGGGTCCTGCAGTGCCAGCAGCTGCTTGAAGGGAGGTCTCAGGCAGGCTCTGGCTGCTGACACAGTATGGAGGCTGGTTTTGGGGGGTTCCAGCAGCATGCCAGGCTGTTTGGGCCCTGTGGTGCCAGTTAGGAATGTTCTGCCACATTGTGACTCCTCAGATACGCTTTTGGGGGCTCTCCAGTGGTGTGGGGGGTGTATACTCCACTGTCCTTCACCAGAGTTCTTGAGCCTTCAGCTGTGTGAGAGCAGGGGGTCTCCAGCAGCACAAGGGTTGGCTCGCGGGGTCTCCAGCAGCACAAGGCATGGAACAAGCTGGGTCCGGGGTCTCTGGCAGCATGAGGTGTGGAACAAGCTGGGTCCGTGGTGGTCTCCAGTAGTTATAATTAAACTTAATAAACTTCTAATGTTCTAAAAGCAAACCTATTTCAATCCCCAACAGCGAGGCGCGGATCAGGCAGGCTCCAGGGGTCTCCGGCAGCTCCGAAGGCAGCTTGGACGGGCTCTGGGAGACGATCCCATCCCCAGGCCGGGGCACCCGGGTCTCGGGGGCGCTCAGGCCACAGAGGCAGCGGTAGCGGCGGCGGTGGCAGCAGCGGCGGCATCGCGGCGCTGGGCGGCCCGCAGGAGGCTCTGCCGCAGCACCGGGTACTGCCGGTGGCAGCCGTCGAGGCCGAGCCGCAGGGCCTGCGCCCAGTCCTCGGGGGGGCCGCCCTGGCCGCCGCCCAGCACGGCCGACACCTGGTTGAGGGCGGGCAGCAGGGCGAGCGTGAGGCGGGCGGCGGCGCGGCGCTCCTCGGGCTCCGCGGGCTGCAGCATCCAGGCGGCGGCGGCTGTGGCGGCGGGCGGGCGGCAGAGCGCGCAGCCCACGGCCAGGTCGTACATCTCCACGCCCGCGTCCGCCAGCGCCAGGGCGGCGGCGCTGACGGCGGCGGCCAGGGCCGAGCCGCCGTCCTGCAGCAGCAGCGCGCTGACGGCCAGGCGGGCCCGCGGGTACCGGCCCAGCCGCACCGCCGGCTCCAGCGCCTCCCGCAG